TTCTTTCAAATGTTAAAAAGTGAAGGTACTATTTTTAAGATAGGTGTGCCTGACCCAACTACACAGTTTTCAGTAACCTCATAAACATGGAAATGATGAATAAACAGTAGCAAAAAATCAACTGGTTTCACTGGTAATATTGATGAAAATCTTGAATAAATGTACCAAAACTACCAGAAGAAGGACAAACTGTTTTGAAAGAAGTCTACTAGTAATGGTCCTTAGGGTAGCACAACTTTATTTTACATACATTGGACACACTATAAAGAGAGACTAGTCCTCAGAGAAGGTCATCCTGTGTGCAAAGTACAGCCTCAGCTGAAAAGAGGAAGATAATCAAGCAGATGGATTGGTACAGTAATTGAAAAACAGGATGAAACTTGTAGAACTGGGCAGTAATTGTTCAGTTGTACATCAAATTCTGCTATGTTAAAATTTAACGCCACCTCACACCAACAGCATTCAAATTGTAATAATTATGAAAGTTGTTGTTACGCGCTATTGAGTCGCCTGTGACTCATAACAATCCTATGTACAAAAGCTTTAAACCCTTCTCTATACGGTGCCAATCTTACTGTCTCTGACACATCTACCCCCATAACCCCAGTTACTGAATCAGTCTATCTCATCAAGAGTCTTCCTCTCCTGCGCTGTCCCTCCACCCTCCCAAGTATGATATCCCTCTCCAAATACTGGGCCCTCCTTCCAACATGCCCAAAGTATCTCAGACTAAGCTTCAGAATCCTTGCCTTCAAGAAGCAACCTGGCTTCAACCTATCCACGACAAACCTGTTTGTTTTCTTAGCAGTCTATGTTATATTCAGTGCTCTTCTCCAGCACCACAGCTCAAAGGCATCAATTCTCCTATTATACCTAGTCATTGTGCAGCTCTCTGATGCATAGCAAGTGATTGAAAAGACCATGGCATGTAACAAACGCACCTTAGTCTCCAGACTGACATCTTTACTCTTCAGTACTTTAAAGAGGTCTCTAACAGCAGATTTTCCCATTGCAATACATCTTTTAATTTCCTGGCTGCTGGTGCCAAGAGTGTTGACTGTGGAGCCAAGCAAACTAAAACTATAAACAATTTCAATTACTTCACCAT